TATTGAATGTGCACCCTACATGTCATAACATAAACTGACAAAATCAACAATGTCCATATTGAATGTGCACCCTACATGTCATAACATAAACTGACAAAATCAACAATGTCCATATTGAATGTGCACCCTACATGTCATAACATAAACTGACAAAATCAACAATGTCCATATTGAATGTGCACCCTACATGTCATAACATAAACTGACAAAATCAACAATGTCCATATTGAATGTGCACCCTACATGTCATAACATAAACTGACAAAATCAACACTGATCAATTACTTTGACAGGATGACGGCACACACAGGGCCTGTACACACTGATCAATTACTTAGACAGGATGACGGCACACACAGGGCCTGTATACACTGATCAATTACTTAGACAGGATGACAGCACACACAGGGCCTGTACACACTGATCAATTACTTAGACAGGATGACGGCACACACAGGGCCTGTACACACTGATCAATTACTTAAACAGGATGACAGCACACACAGGGCCTGTATACACTGACCAATTACTTAGACAGGATGACGGCACACACAGGGCCTGTACACACTGTTCAATTACTTAGACAGGATGACGGCACACACAGGGCCTGTATAGTAGTTTGATTAGACAGGATGACGGCACACACAGGGCCCGTATAGCAGTTTGATTAGACAGGATGACAGCACACACAGGGCCTGTATAGTAGTTTTTATTAACAATAGATTACAGCATTATGTTGAATATGCCAGAATGTCAATAGAGGTCCGATTAGACAGGTTTGATTAGCCAGAATGTCAATAGAGGTCCGATTAGACAGGCTGGATTAACCAGAATGTCAATAGAGGTCTGATTAGACGGGTTGGATTAGCCAGAGTGTCAATAGAGGTCCAATTAGACGGGTTTGATTAACCAGAATGTTAATAGAGGTCCGATTAGACAGGTTGGATTAACCAGCATGTCAATAGAGGTCTGATTAGACAAGCTGGATTAACCAGAATGTCAATAGAGGTCTGATTAGGCGGGTTGGATTAGCCAGAGTGTCAATAGAGGTCCGATTAGACGGGTTTGATTAACCAGAATGTTAATAGAGGTCCGATTAGACGGGTTGGATTAACCAGCATGTCAATAGAGGTCTGATTAGACAGGTTGGATTAGCCAGAATGTCAATAGAGGTCCGATTAGACAGGTTGGATTAGCCAGAATGTCAATAGAGGTCCGATTAGACAGGTTGGATTAGCCAGAATGTTAATAGAGGTCTGATTAGACAGGTTGGATTAACCAGAATGTCAATAGAAGTCTGATTAGACAGGTTGGATTAGCCAGAATGTCAATAGAGGTCCGATTAGACAGGTTGGATTAACCACAATGTCAATAGAAGTCTGATTAGACAGGTTGTATTAGCCAGAATGTCAATACAGGTCTGATTAGACGGGCTGGATTAGCCAGAATGTAAATAGAGGTCCGATGAGACAGGTTGGATTAGCAAGAATGTCAATAGAGGTTCGATAAGACAGGTTGGCTTAGCCAGAATGTCAATACAGGTCTGATTAGACGGGTTGGTTTAGCAAGAATGTCAATAGAGGTCTGGTTAGACGGGTTGGATTAGCCAGAATGTCAATAGAGGTCTGATTAGACAGGTTGGATTAGCCAGAATGTCAATAGAGGTTCGATAAGACAGGTTGGATTAGCCAGAATGTCAATAGAGGTAAAATTAGATGGGTTGGTTTAGCCAGAATGTCAATAGAGGTCTGATTAGTCCGGTTGGATTAGCCAGAATGTCAATAGAGGTCCGATTAGACAGGTTGGATTAGCCAGAATGTTAATAGAGGTCTGATTATACAGGTCGGATTAGCCAGAATGTCAATAGAGGTCCGATTAGACAGGTTGAATTAGCCAGAATGTCAATAGAGGTCCGATTAGACAAGTTGGATTAGCCAGAATGTCAATAGAGGTCCGATTAGACAGGTTGGATTAGCCAGAATGTTATTAGAGGTCTGATTAGATGGGTTGAATTAGCCAGAATGTCAATAGAGGTCCAATTAGATGGGTTTGATTAGCCAGAATGTTAATAGAGGTCTAATTAAACGGGTTGGATTAGCCAGAATGTCGATAGCGGTCCGATTAGACGGGTTTGATTAGCCAGAATGTCAATAGAGGTCCGATTAGACGGGTTTGATTAGCCAGAATGTCAATAGAGGTCCGATAAGATGGGTTGGATTAGCCAGAATGTCAATAGAGGTCTGATTAGACGGGTTTGATTAGCCAGAATGTTAATAGAGGTACGATTAGACGGGTTCGATTAGCCAGAATGTTAATAGAGGTCCGATTAGACAGGCTGGATTAGCTAGAATGTCAATAGAGGTTCGATTAGACAGGTTGGATTAGCCAGAATGTCAATAGAGATCTGATTAGACAGGTTGGATTAGCCAGAATGTCAATAGAGGTCTGATTAGACAGGTTGGATTAGCCAGAATATTGATAGAGGTCAGATTAGACAGGTTTCACTGTATGAACATAATCTTCCACTCGTTTTATATTCCCAAAGAGATTTTGTGAAAACCCAAGTTAGACAAGGAAGAAAATTTGAAAAAAAACATGTGAAGATTTGACATCAATTTATATAAGAGGCCCATGGGCCTTAACTGTCACCTACAGTATTAATTTTTGTGGTTGAAATATGAATTGGAGATAATGATGTCAATCATCTCTACCAAAATTTGAGTAAAAAAAAGTTAAATATAACTTTATGTAAAGTTTGTCAGGACAATGAGTTGATCATTCCTAGACCGAGTTTCAGTTAATACGGCCTATTAGAACTTGATTTTAAGTTTTAAATAGTTTTATTCCAAAATGGCAGCCATGGCGTCCGTATTGGATTTTCCATGGACCTGAACAAAATCTTTTGCCAGGACCATGATTTGATCATTCCTACTAAGTTTCAGTTCAATGGGCCCAGTAGAACTTGACTTTAAGTTTGAAATTGTTTTTCAAAATGGTGGCCATATTGGATTTCTGATCGACCCAAAAAATAACAACACTTTGTCAGGACCATGAGTTGATCATTCCTATCAAGTTTCAGTTAAATCGGCCCAGTAGATCTTGACTTTAAGTTAGAAATTTGTTTTTTAAAATGGCGGCTGTGACAGCCATATTGGATTTCTGATTGACCCTAAATATCAACAACACTTTGTCAGGACCATGAGTTGATCATTCCTACCATTTTTCAGTTAGATTGGCCGAGTAGAACTTGACTTTAAGTTAGAAAGAGTTTTTTAAAATGGCGGCCGTGGTGGCCATGTTGGATTTCTGATCGACCTGAAAAATAACAACACTTTGTCAGGACCACGAGTTGATCATTCCTACCAAGTTTCAGTTAAATCAGCCCAGTAGAACTTGACTTTCAGTTTGAAATATTTTTTCAAAATGGTGGCCTTAAAATTACAACACTTGGTCAGGGAGTTGTCAGTAACATTCCCATGAAGTATCAATGAAATCCCTTTGACAGTATTTCAGCTTAAGTTGAAAATATAAAATGTTAACAGACGACGGACAAGCTAAAGCTCAGGTGACCAAATAAATGTTGTAAGAGAGTTCTGGTTGCCTATGTCCTTATCAAGCCATTACCTGGTGCTACACCCTGGTTCATTGTCAGGACACGAGTAGTTCTGACCACAGGATCGACGAAAGTCACTGGCCTGCATGCTCCCCATAGTCTTCTGATGGAAGTCATCATACAAGATGTCGAGTCCTGTCACTCCTTCTACCCGCTCTGTGGCACACCTTCGTTGATCACGATTAGGACCAGGAGCTTTACTGGTGTAACATTCTCCTGAAATGTCAAGGTCACTGATGTAATATTCTCCGGAAATGTCAAGGTCAATGTCAAATATCATTCTTCAGAAATGTCAAGTTCACTTATGTTTCAACCTTCAATGTCAATGTCACTGATGTTATATTCTCCTCAAATGTCAAGGTAGTAAATTTATACACGTAGTACATTAATAAAGCAGTTAATTTCTAACATCTAGAGATGTCTCAGTGCTCCTTTACCCAGCAAATTTATACATGTCATACATTAATATAGTGGTTATTTTCTGACAACATCCAGAGATGTCTCAGTGCTCCTAGATACTCAGTAAATGTACACATGTCAGACATTAATAAAGCGGTAATTTTCTGACAACATCTAGAGATGTCTCAATGCCCCTATAGCTAGATACCCAGTAAATATACATGTCATACATTAATAAATCGGTTATTTTCTGACAACATCTAAAGATGTCTCAGTGCTCCTATACCCAGTAAATTTATACATGTCATACATTAATAAAGTGGTTATTTTCTGACAACATCTAGAGATGTCTCAGTGTCCCTAGATACCCAGCAAATTTATACATGTCATACATTAACAAAGCTGTCATGAAATATCAATAATAAGAATATGAATTACTCATGCAAGTTTCTATTTTATGTACTTCCTGTAAACACATATTGGAATTTGACCGAAGATTAAAAACAAAGCACATGTGCTAGACACTGCTTCTCAATTTGCTAGAACATGGGTTAATTATTATGATGTGAGTCTTGTTTCCATCCACCTCCATATTTGTTGGGCTAACAGATATGTAAATACCAGTGCAATACTCATTTGTTAACTTTGATTTGTTTTATTTCACCTTATATACCTCCTCCATCAAGAGCCAGGGTCAAAGTCAGAGATCCACTTTGTCTTTGACCTTTGGACCCAAACGACTTTGACCATTCTTTAGTTCCGACCAACTTTGCTTCATAACATCATAACAAAATGGTCATCAGTGAAAAATACAAAACTTGACCTTGACCCTTTGGGCCCCGTAACCTTGACCTAAGGTCAGTTGACTCTGTGTTAAGTCCTGAACAAGTTTGCTACATAATAACATAAAAAAAAGTTCATCAGTAAAAAGATACAATAATTGACCTTGACATTGACCACGTGACCTTGACCTTAAGTCAGTTGACTCCTTTTTAAATTCGGACCAACTTTGCTTCATAATGTCATAACAAAATGTTCATCAGTGAAAAAATACAAAATTTGACCTTGACCCATCGACCTTGCCCTTTGGTCAAATGACTCCTTGTTTAATTCCCACAAACATTGCTTCAAAGTGTCATAATGAAATATTCACCAAATGTTCATCAGGGAAAAGATACAAAATTTAACTGTGACCTTTGACCCAGTGACCTTGACCATTGGTCAATTGACTCTTTGTTTAATTCTGACCAACATTGCTGCATAATGTCATAACAAAATGCTCATTAGTGAAAAGCTACAAAGTGTCATTACAAAACTTAACCTTGACCTTTGACCCAATGACCTTGACATTTGGTCCGGTTGATTCCTTGTTTAATTCTGATCAACTTTGCTTCATCATGTCATAACAAAATGTTCATCAGTGAAAAGATACAAAATGTGACCTTGACCTTTGAACCTAATGACCTTGACCTTTGACCTTGACTTTTAACCTTAATGTGTATTTTTGAGAACTGAACATCTTGACCAAGTTTCATGTACATCGGTCAATAAATACTAAATAAAGTAATCAGCCAGGAACAAGATTTGTGGACGGACAGACAGACAGACAGACAGACAGACAGACAGACAGACAGACAGACAGACAGAGTGATTACTATAGGGCACCCGTATCTCCGATACGGGGCCCTAATAAAAGAAAAAGGATATAAATGAACATCAGGTCAGTAATGTTCCCTTAGGAAAACAAATTCAGGAGAACAGACAGAAATTTGTATAAAGAAGCACAAACTTAAACACTGACAGATCAGCCAGGGCAATTCCCTGGTTTATTTTAAGCAACAGTAACCTTGACCTTAAAAACTTTTTAAATCTCTATTGCACATCTGCATATCTCTAGGTATCACAACATCAAATTTCAAAAAGACAAGATTTTTGGATCCTGAGATAAGGACTGTAACCCCAGATCTATTTTAGTAACAGTGACCTTGACCTGAGAAACTTTTTAAATCCCTAATGCACATCTTTATATCACAGAAAAACAAAAGTGTGGACGGATGGACAAAAATATTGTTTTTCTTCCCAACCATATTAAGACATGTATTGGTCCACATATTTGGTTTTGTTTTTACAATGTAATGATACTACCTAATAAGTCATGAGACAAGGGTTTTTTTTGAATGGATATTGAAATTCATCCATGTAAAATGTTGACTTTCATAACCATGTAAAACTTTGTATTACCCGGTAGATTTCATATTTCTTAGGTCCTTCTCACTCAATTTTACAACTATAAATTAATATTTTCACTTCAATGGTGCTCTACTATAGAAGAAAATTGACAAAACAACAAGAAATCTTACTGCTGATACAGTTTTCATTGACGTTACACTTGCAGCCGCCCGGCCATGGTCCGGTGGTAGATATAGAGAGACACTCTTTCTGTGTACGTGGTGTCATGCCCTCAAACACTGCCTGGGAGATAGTGTTAATCTTTCCTACACCTGCGGCATCCATATAAGGTGTCGATATAGATGTCTTCCAGGGGGCGCTGCTCGTTCTTTTGTACCAAGGTCGTCTGAACAAATATTGCAGATCATAAACATGAACGGTCCAATCAATTTTTTTTCTGTGATTACAAAATATCAACAGTGCTTCTGAACATTGACTATTTAACATTTATATATCCTTGAACTTTTCATATAAACATACTACTTTCTTATATCTGGAATGTGTAGATGGTTTTATTTACTTTAAAAAAATCCACTAATTCAGTGATGTACTGTCCATGTCTTGTGCACATGTGTCTGTAGGTACATGTACTGTCAATGTCTTGTGCACATGTGTCTGTAGGTACATGTACTGTCCATGTCTTCCTACCTTGTGCCTACTTTGCAGCGTCGGACCATGATGACAAGCCGAGGTGTTTCATTTACCTTAATTCAGTGATGACTTAGTTCCTTCTCTCCAATTGGAGAATAGGGCCATGAACAAGTCCTGTCCACAACATCCTATTTTCTGCCTACTTTGCAGCGTCGGACCATGATGACAAGCCGAGGTGTTTCACTTACCTTAATAGATCAGTGATGCATATGCTTTTATTGATGATCAGCAAAGAACTTAGAATTGTAGCCCCTACAGACAGACAGACAGACAGACAGACAGACAGAGTGATTGTAGTCCCTGGTTGGACATCTAATCACTAGCACTTACATGGTAGGATTGTAGCCCCTGGTTGTACATCTAATGACTAGTACTTACATGGTAGGATTGTAGTCCCTGGTTGGACATCTAATCACAAGCACTTACTTGGTAGAATTGTAGCCCCTGGTTGGACATTAAATGACTAGCACTTACTTGGT